GCCTTATAGTTAAATTATAAGGGAAGTTTGCTGTATTCTACGATTAAACCTAATAATAATCGGTTTACGGCTAAGGGCCGGATAGTAGCTTTTTAGCGTAGTAGTAGACCCTTTATCTATAATACTAAACTAGACGGTTATCTACTCGTTTACGCTTACTTTCTAGAACAAATACGATTACCGTAGATATACGGCGTAGCAACTAAATATAACGGGTCCGCCGTCTAAATTTTAAGTATAGGTAAGCTTATAGTAAAGATATAAGATAAAGTGAGCTTTACTATATACCTACCCGCTTTTACTATTTACCGTCCTAAGGGCGAATAATATTTCCACCGATATATAGCATATCTAATCGGCGGTAAGCGGTCGATTAAGCGTAAACTCTATATTAATTAGGCGTACTACGGGTAGCCGTCCCCTTTAGATAATTCTATCGATATAATATATATACCCGCTAAGAAATAAATCCAAACTAATATAATAAGTGAGATGTTAGAAATACGAAGCTTAGTTTAATATAACTACCTACTTTAATAAAGCGGAGTAGGTAATTCGGGCTTACTTATCTCCGAGAAGCTTATATAGACCGTGATCCGCTATTAAACTCCTAATATATATAGTCTCTACGCTAGTTCTTATCATATTACTATTATACTAAAGGCTTAACCCCTTAATATTATAAAAATAGTAAGAGAGTCGGCGAGGTACTAACTTATAAAAGCTGATACGTCTATTATAGCCTTCTCTTAGCTACCGTGTCAATTTCTTTAGCGAAAAGTACGTAGACCGCCTCTTACTCGAGCGTAAGGCTACTACTTACGGACTTCCGAAGGGTTATTCCACCTTAGACTTACTAGTTAATATCGCCTTATAAGAGTTTAAGCTACTTATAAACGACGAGCTTAGGTAATAGCTTTTCGCATTACTTAATAGAGCTACGGAGGGTATAATGAAGCTTATAAGCTAGGATTATCCGCCGGTTATGACGTATACCCGTAAGGACTTAGCTATATAGTTCCTAACTAAGGCCTTAGAGAGCCGTAACTTATTATACGCTAAGGAAGGATGCGCTTAGCTATGTTCCCACCTCTTTAATATATAGGAATCGGACACCTTTATACCGAGGTAAGTTCGGCTCCGCGACTACTATTAGGAGCACGCGATAGAGTATAATACTACTCGACCTTATCGCTAAGGAAGATGCGAGCGGCACCGTTTTAGTACTTCCGACTACTATATTTCATATTATATAATTACCTTATATATGCTTTCCGACGTGATAATGCCGCCCGCGTATATACGTACCTATTATATCGATAAGTATAAGAAGGCGGCTTATATTAACTCGTGTTATAATCTCTTAGATATTTATTTGGAGTATACTTTATCGGATCGGTAAGAGACTAAGGCGCGGGAGGTAGCGGACCCTTCCCTTCGGATTTACCGTTTTAATAGCTATAAGAATCTCCGTAGGGAGCACGGAAAGCTTTACGATAAGTATTACTAATAAGTAGGAGCACCGCTGTTATAATAGTATAATAGTAGGACACGGATCGCGGATACTTAGAAACTAGTACTTATAATAGTAGGAGTATATATAAATAAGGTCTCGGGGAAGTAACGGTGATATTGACGGCTTTTATATAGTTGTTTAGGTTCTCTCTCTCTAATTATCATAGTAAAATAAATGATTAGACTTATCGTATAGTTATCTTTGCTTAAATTTGCTTCTACTTCTAATAGGCTTATACGCTTCTATTAAAAGCTAAAATAAGAGGTAGATAAAAGCCTTAGCGTTGGGAAGCTTAAGTAGAAAATAAGAAATAAAAAGAATAAGTCTAAAGTTATTTTAAATAGCCGACCTTTAGTTATATTAATTTCTTCCCTAAGCTAAGAGGTAAGGGTAGTTGTTAAGGCAACGGCTAACCTATTTAGGGCCCTAACCTAATTAGGTTTATAACTAAGATTATAACTAAGATTACTAAGATTATAATTAGCTACACCTTGTTCGAAAGTATAACGCTAACTAACTATATACTAATAATAGACTTTAAACGGTAAATAGGTAATGATGTAGTAAGTAGCCTTCTTCTTTCTTTTAATCCCTATATTATACTCGTCTTAACGGCCGGTACTAAATCTTACGATCCGTAGCTGCCCTAGCTACTAAGTTAGCTGCTTATAGTTTGATAGTAGCTAGCACTTTCGCTTTTAAACGCGGCCGTATCTATATCTAAGCTAGATACCGAATGTCTAAGCAGCAAAGTTGTTATCCCCGTTGTTTTAAGACTTTTATTTCGTTTACCGTTATGATATATTCTAAGTAGGTAGCTTTGATCGGTATTAGATATTAATTTATAACTAGGTTTTAGTCATTATATATGGAAGCTCTTAGCCGATTAGTAAGCCTTTATATTATAACTATATAACGACGAGATGCTTCTTAAGACCTTTACCTTAGAAAACGAACCTTCTAGCCCTCCTTTAATATTTAAGTTATAGTAACCGTTACCTCTTCCTCGCCCTTAGGCATTACGAAACATACCTTTACGGCGAAGAAGCCGGATCTCGAGAGAGAGGTCAAAGCCGTATATATTACTATATATAATCGTGACCCTAGCCGGGCGCTTATATTAGATATATAAGCAACGATATGTTTATATTATATAGAGGTGTAAGAGTCGTTATAGCCGGTGATTTTCCCGGTTATACGATATCTAATAAATAACCGAAAGCTAGTGATAAAGGAGATGTATATAAAGCTAAGCCTCGGGGACCCGTTAGCGGTCCGATATATCTTCCTAAACGGTATAATCACCTATCTTAAAAGGTATATAAAGGCTTTGTTAAAATAATAGCTATAAGTAGCGGCAATACTTAGGGAGTTACCCTATACTAAGGGAACTTACCTTATAACCTAATTAGGGCCTAATCGGGGTGTAGAACTTACCCTATAGTTTGGGCTAAGAACTATTATAGGAATCTTCCTAAGATTCCCGAACTTACCCTATAATTCCCGATGCTAAGAGCACTGCTACTAACGTGGGCTTTACCGGTCTACTAATCGCCCTACAAATTTAGGGTAATAGCCTTATATTCTAGGGCACTCCCCTTATATTATAATGTACTTACGTCACGCCGAACCCTCTAAAATCTAGAGGATTACAAATCAACTTAGGGTACAACGCTTATAAATATAAGCCTTCTACCCTCTTATAGATAGACTTTCCTTAAGTAAGTAAGTAAGTAGTTAAGTAAGTAAGAATATAAGCCTTATTCTTCTATATCTTCGCTTCCTTTAGCACCTTAGTAAGCTCTACTATCGTACCTAAGACTTCCCGACCTTACTACCTTCGGCCGAGATTCCTTACGCTTCCACTCGCTATGCTACAGCGATTATAATTGTTGCAGCCTTATATAGGTGCTATATTTAGGCTTATTAGGGTATACGGTGTAATAGGCTTATAACGACCGTCTACCACCCTCGCTCGCGAACCTCTTTGCGAAGCCGGCTATTACTTCCCCTCTAACGTTTCTTATTATAGACTACGAATTACTATTATAATACGCCGGAACTTATACGGCGGGTAATCTTATATCCGTCGATACTACGTCGCCGAAGATAGTTGCTGCTCTTACCGCATCCGCTATAAGACCTAATAATAACGATCCGATATATATACCCCCGTATAGCCGTACCCTCTTAACTACGCCTCCGACGTTATTTAGGAGTTAGCCTTATTATCAACCTTAGTCTATACTAAGCTTCGATTTCACCTTAGGACCCTATAAAACGATAATACCTAAACCGTAGTATAATAGCTAATATAAGTAACAAAATAGTCCGTAGTAGTTAGCTAATCGGTAACGGACTAGTCCGCCGTACTAGCCGTACGTATAATAGTAATAATACGAGTAAGATAGCTAATATAACTAATAGAGTAGTCTATATTAATAGTAAGCTAGTCCGTAGCTATATAGCCCGCCGTACCGACTAAGTAGCTAATATACTTAATAAAATAGTCCGTATTAATAGTAAGCCGGTCCGTAGCGGCATAGCCCGTTAAGCTATTTATTCGTTTATTAGTAGCCGTAGTAGTAATACGGCTAATAATAATCCTATCTCCCGAATCGTTAGATACTATTATTAAAGTATAGCTCGTCTAAGTACCCGAATAATAGGGGAGACGTTATCTAAGTAAAGAATAAGGAAAGGGTCCTCGACGTTATACGATTACTTAATAACTAGCTCTTCGACCCTAAACTATGTTATAATAGGCTAGTAATAGATAAAATTGCTCTTCCCCTTATTAACTTATAGCTCCGCGTAGAGCGTACGCGAGATATATACTAGGATAAGTTAGATAAAGCTTTTAAGGATTTTATACGTATCGTATAAGAGCTTCCTTATAATAAGTAGGTCTCTTTAAGCGGGTACTAGTAATCGATAAGGGGAGGAGGAAGCGTAGATTAAGATCTATACCGTTCTATAACGTAAGCACTTATATTATATAAATAATATTATCGTAATATATAAGATCTAAGAAATCTATTATTTGTCTTAATATATTTAGGTATAAGATTAAGCCTACTTATATATTAGAACCGCTTCGCTTATACGTAAATCAATTAGATTATAGTTTAACTTATTATAAAGGAGTCCTCATATATAGTTAGGAGTTAGGTAAAGTACGAAGGGGATAAGAGTTCGATTTGATAGTGATACGAGTATCCTTATATAGAGACTAATTCTTAGAGAGGAGAAGAGGAAAGCCTTCTATAGCGTACGATTATCTAACTTTTTGGTCCCGTTAGGGAGGAGACCTTTACGTGATATATACGTGTCCCCTTTGGGATCCCGTCGTAATCCGTACTTCTTAGGGATAGCCGCGGGGCTTTATTACAATTATCCTCCCTCCTCCTAAACGAATATCCTTATTCGCTTTTACGCTTCGACTTGCTAAATTATGGGCGGCTAATCGGTGAAGTAAAAAGTTTACCTAGGCCGGGAATTGAACTCGGGACTTTGGTTCTCTTTATATAACTATCGTTACGGGCAACGATAGTTATATATAGTTTATAGGCTAACGTCTTTACTACTTAACCACCTAGGCTTATAGAAGAATTATAGGAGCTAGGACCTTATATAGGTAGTCTAGGCGGAAAAGATAACATCTTCCGATAAAGGGAACGGAAGGTTGTAGACGAAAGTTACTATCCGGTGGTAACGTACTAGTATAGTAGTATAGACGCGGGCGAGACGTAAGTACGTTATCTAAGTAACGCGGTTAATATAATTAATAATAATCGTGAATCCCTAATCTAGGTTAACGCCGTTAATAATTAGTGATTACGTTAGTAAAGTATAAATAAGTCGTGCCCGTTACGCCGGCTTTTTACTAGAACTTCTTCTAATTCCTCGGTATTATTTTTATTTCTTAAGTATAGTTCTTATAACTCGACGATTCCTCCGCGTTACCTTTAAGTTATCTTTAGTTCTCCGTCGCGTTAATATTATACCTCCTCGTCGCCGTCCTTTGGACGTTAATCCGGTAGCTATATAGAAGAAGTTCTATATAAATTACCTACGTTTTATAAATAAGAACTATAAGGTGAGCGCGGACGCGTTACCGTTGCTTAGCTACGTCTTCGACGTAGAGACCTCGATTCTATATAGCTACTACGTTTATAGTAATAAGACTTACGATCCGGTATATATACGATAAGACTAGTTTCGAGGGGTAAATATTAACGTAACGTAGCTAATCGCCCTTATACTCGGCGACGGTTTCGACTTTAGTACTTTATTAGAGTAGGTGTCGTTTTTCTTCCGGGAGGAAGAGATCGGCGAGGAGGCGTAGGAGCCCTTCTTTCGTCGAGATCTCGCCTACGCGGCTTTTAAGTTGATAAAGGGTTTCGAGGCTACCGAGACCGCTTACCGGAAGATGGCTCTCCCTAATAATAAGAAGTCGGATCGCTTATCCGGTATAAGTGGTATTATCGCTCGTATATTAAAGTCGTTATCTAATAGTTTCCTAACTATTTTACGAACGTTTCTTAGCCGACGTTTAGGTACGTAAGCGAATTTTAGCTATACGCTATCTTACCTCGGATTACGACCTCTCTATTACGAAGTAGCGTCGTTTGTTCAACGATATATAATTGTATCGCCTAGAATACGGCGATAAAGGTTTCCGGACCTAGCTCGTAGCTAAGTTCCGTTTTACTAAGGACTACGAGGCGGTCTTTAAGTATTATTTTGATATAGAGAACGCGGTGGTTTCGGAGGAGTATTAGGCCGGTTTCCCGGATTAGGTAGTTGATAAGGTTTGAGCGGAGTAGCGACCGCGTTAGTCTTACGGCTCGTCTATATATAGTTCTCGTATTAGCTGCTTTTCGCCGGCTATATACTATGCCTTTTTATAGTTTTTGTTTTTTTTTTAACTTAGTCTTCGGACCTAAGTTTAGTTTCTAAGCCGATGCGCTTACTTTAATTAAGTGTTCCTCTACGTACCCTTCGGGGTTACGCTTTCTTAATAACCTTCTTCTTAAACTATATAATTAGTCTTAGTATATTTATATCTAACTATATTATCTATTAGTTATATTTAGCTAACTATCCTTTCTATTTAACTAAGAAGTAGGTTTTATAGTCGATTACTTTTTCGTCTTTAATCTCTTCGACTTCTTACTCGTCGTTATCTTCTAATTTTAGTATTTAAAGGTAATCGTCTTAGATATTACCCTTCCTTATATACTACGGTTCTAAGAGTAAGATTAGGAATACGTTATATAGTCTCTAATACTAATTAAGGAGGTTAAAGCGATATACTTATATACTTACTACGTCTAGTATACGAAACGGGCCGATGAACTTAAGTACGAGCTTTCTACTAAGGAGTTTGAGGCGGAGGTTCTTCGTAGAGAGTCCTACTAAACTCCCTTTCGCGAATAATATAGGTTAGTACCTCTGATTATAAGCCTTTACTTATCGTTCGGAAGCTATCTTCTAGTAGTTTAAGAGTATCTCCCGGAGGCCTACTAATTTCTCGAGTCGATTTATAGCTCTTAGGACTTCCCCTTTATACGAATCGTCCTCGATTCGTAAACGTAACTCTGGGTTATATCTTATTAAGGCTTTGAATAATGAAAACCCTATTATAGTATTAACTACGTTGTTATACGCGTATTCGGTTATACGGAGTAATATTAGCTATACTACTTATTAGTTTATAACGAAGTATTTAAGGTAATACTCTAAGACTTAGTTTATCCTTTCCGTTTAGTTATCGGTTTACGGGTAAAACGTTATCGATAACCGGCGTTTTATTTAGTTATAATAATACAAATCCGACCAAAACTTGCTTATAAATACCGTACCTTTATCGGTGATAATACTACGGGGTATACTAAAACGTAGTTCTACTTCTTTATAAAAGAGCTTTGCTAAATTTACCGAGGTAATAGTAGTAGTAACTAGGAAGAACTAGGTATACTTAGTATATCGGTCGACGATTACGAGGATAACGTTTATAAAACGTCCTTAGAAGATGACTTTTAGTAAGCTTATAATAAAGTTTATAGTTAATTCTTAAAACGGTCTTACCGGTAATAATAACGACTCGAGTTTGCCGTAGGGCTTATACCGTTTCGATATAGCGCCTTAGTAGATCGTATATTCTCTAATGTATTTTTTCATATCCTAGTATAATCTAACCTAATAGAATTACCGTTATAATAGCTCTGTTATCCTTACGGTACCGAAGTATCCTATTAGTGGATTATCGTAGTATAGTTATAATAATTCTTACCTAAGGCTTTCTAAGCCCGGAATATAGGTCTTCCCTTTATACTTAAGCAACTCCTTAGAGTACGATTAGTTTTTACGTATATTTCGCTTACGATTATCTTTTAGATTACGAACGATTCGTCTTATGTCTAGGTTTAATACTTAGAGCCGGCGTATTAATACTAAGATATCTTTAGAGCCTTAGTTACCCGTATTTGACTCCCCGATACGTAAGGATAATATTATTACCCTAAGTATAAACTACTCGGTTGCTAGTTTATATCGGGTACCCGTATCGTTCTCTACGGTATCTACGTCCGGATCACCGTTATTACCCTTAGGTAGAGTATACGTTTCGTTATTAACTTTAGATATCTCGTCTAAGGACTTATATAAATCTCTCTTAATACCCTTAAGCGGAGCGTTAAACTCTACGCTATATTTCGGCGGAGTAATAGTCTCTTAGTCTAAGAGTTGTTCTAATAATATAGCCTACTTTATAACGATTTTCTATTAGAGCGGCGATAATAGTTCGGTTTACGACTATATCTCCTCGACGTAATCGGGTCGTCTCGAGGGCGTATTTATAAGGTTACTTTTACTTATACGATATTTGATAACGAACTCGAATAACGCTAAGGATATATACTAATAGGCTTACCTACCGTTTAGCTTCGTTTACCGTATAAAAGCTTATAAGTTAGCGTAATTAGAGAGAACCTTAACGATATATCTACTCCCTTCGAGGTAGTATCGTTAATAGCGAAACGACTTTACGATAGCGAAAAGCTCTTAATCCGGGGTCCCGTAGTTTAACTCGGGCCCGTTAAACTTATAAGACTAGAAGGTAATAAGGTACTAAATACCTTAGTTATTTAGTTAGGATAAGATACCTAATATAGCGAATTTGGATATATTTATTTCGATCCGGATATGCTTTATAAGGTCGAAGTACCGTAGTAGTAGCGTAGCTTAGAACGCTCTTTATAGCCGTCGAAACGTTTACGTCTCTTCGTAGCCGAACGTTATAGGGCCCGTCTTCCTACCTTCCTTACTCCTTTTAAATAAGGTAGTAAGAGGTGCTACGATACGAGAGTACCTTTAAATAAAGCGTCGATAAAAGTTATAGAATCTTAAGAAGACCTAGATATCGTAGAAGCTCTCCGGGATCGGTTACGTAGCGATAATATCTACTCTACGTTTATCTATTGCTATACCGTCTCGAGAGATAATATATCTTAAGAATTTTACCTTATCTTTATAGAATAAGTATTTACTTCTTTTAGCGTATAGCTAAGTAGTACGTAAGCGGTCTAATATTTGGTTAATATAGCGGGTATATAACTCTCGGTCCTAAGAGTAGATAAGGATATTATCTAGATACGTGATATAGAAGTCGTCTTTTAGACCCCGAAGCGTTAGATAGATATAGTTTTGGAAAGTAGTTAGAGCGTTGGTAAGCCTAAAAGGTATAACTAAGTATTTGTAGTATCTATATCGGGTACGGAACGTTATCTTCTACTCGTCGCCTTCTTTAATTCGGATTCGGTGGTAGGCTTCCTTAATATCGATCTTAGAGAAGTATTAGGTATTAGATACCTTATCCAAAATCTCCGATATAAGTGGGAGAGGATAACGATTCTTAATCGTAACTTTATTAAGTCCCTTATAGTCGATATAAAGACGTAAGATATTATCCTTCTTAGGGACGAAGAGGATAAGTACGTCGGTAGGGCTCTTAGAAGGTCGGATCCGTTTAGTTTTTAGGTTATCGTCTAAGTATTCTCGAAGCTCTTAGAGCTCTCGTTGGGAAAGTAGGTAAATCGGCCCGTAAAGAGGTAATTCCCCTTCCTTAAAGTTAATCGTATAGTCTATCTCCTTATTAGGTAGTAAGATATTAGCTTTATCGGATTCGAATATATCGTTTTAGTCTACTAACTCGGTTAGGAGTTCTTCCGGTTCCCTTTATATAACGTTATCGTACCCCGGGAGTATAACCGTCGGGACAGCTTATATTATATATACGTAGGCGTAGTTCCGAGTAGCTCGCTTAAATATATATCGATATAATATTTCGAACGTAGAGGTATTATACTCGAACTATTATTATCTCTTCTAAGGGGAGAGGTAGATACGGAGGTCGCTTAGAATAGTTATAGAGAGTAGGATAAGACTACCGGTTAACCGGGGGTCGCGGTCGATTACGACGTATTCGCGTTTTATAATCTTCTTAGTCCCGTAACTATCGAGTAATACTAAGGGGACTTTCTAGACCTTATAAGTTAGAGTAGTTATCTAGTTAATAGCTTAAATTACTAATACGGT